TTCCGTGGAACCATGTCCAGTGAGGACCGTCATGCAGTAGCACCTCCACAGGTGATCCCTCGATAGGGTTGCTGTCCGACTCGGCATTCCTGCTCCAGCAAGTTGAGAGCCGGTGTAACCTGCGATTTGTCACTGCTCCCAGTCAGACGGTGCACTATCTGAGGAGGGACGGGGCGTGGCGTTTAAATGTGGCAAGTGCAGTCAATGTTAATGTTAATTATTATGGTCAGCTTCTTGTTGGCGGCACCGCCTCTTTTACTAGCTATTTGCTTGTTTTCGCCACGCATTTTTTTAAGTGATTTTTCCCATCATAATTTTCGTGCTTTGTTTATCATTTCACATGTATTTTCATAGATCTTAAACACAGCTGCGTGAATGCATATTTGCATAGCTGTTTGATGGATTTAGTTGTGTACAACTTAGCAAGCATGATTATGCTGCTGTTAGACGGATAGTATCAGTGAGTGCTCACGTTTACTTTAACAGCAAAATCGCGATAACAGTACGGTATCAGGCAGGGTGTAAAAGGTGGCAGTGGCACCTGCCACTGGCACTTGCCACCGGCAGTGGCAAGTGGCATTTCGCGACTGGCAAGCGGTAAAACATGGCAATTTTTCAAAGTGCAGAAATAACTACGAATTCGCCACCTAGAAAAGTGGAATAGAAAGCATAGTCGATTTCTATTACCGTATTTTTCGAATTAGAAGCCCTGGGCTTCTAAATTTTCAAAGGTGCCTGGGGAGAGGCTTATACAGCAGAGGAGGCTTATATTGTGGAGGAGGCTTTTAAATTTTCAAAGCCTTTAAACTAGCATAATTGCTATACACCGTATATAGAGAGAGGCTTCTAATACGGAGGAGGCTACTAAATTTTTGAACTATGGTGGGGGGAGGCTTATACGATAGAGGAGGCTTTAAATTCGAAAAATACGGTAAATAGCCTTTCTCTACTCTGCGGCAGCCAACGGCCTATACTCCGCCTACCAATGCAATGAGCGCTGCAACGCCGCAAAGTAAATGTTTATGTAGCACAAAATCTTCAAATTTTTAATTTCTTAAATTTCCAAAATTCCTTGAATTTCCTAAATTCCTCTAATTTCTTATATTTTTTATGTTTCAGTACATTTTTTTTAGGATTCTTAGTTTTTCTTCTAATTTCTTGTGTTTTCAGTTTTGTTTACTTCATTGGATTGGCAGTACTACATTAGAAGATTACAGGTACGGGTACTTAGCTTTGGCCGGACAAAAATGTGAAGGCACTGGTTTCCTAGGATGGCGCGTTTTCCCGGGCTCTGTTTGGCCTGAGGCCTCCCGACTTTTTGTTCAACGACATATCAATGATTAACCCCAACCCGCAGACCGACAGAATACTGTATTTTCGCAATTACACAGCAGACACGTTAGCTGTTTTTCGCGCGAAGCGCGAGGCTGACAAATGTTTTTCTCTTACGAACTCAAGAAATTCCATTGAAATTAATTTTATTTATAACTTTTATTTAAAATATATTTTTGCCAGACTGTTTTCGTCAGTTAAAGCATTCGGTAATTAGAAAATTTTATTTGAACGGCTCCCGTTTCCGCCCATTTGGCATTTTCCTATTTTTTTCCATTTTGCAAATTTCCCATCCATAAACCAAAAATTCCCATCCATACCATTCAGTCAAAATAAATGGAGAAATAAATAAATGAATAAATAAATAAATAAATGGACAATGGAGAAAAATGGGGACCATCTGCATTCGAAAAAGGAAATGGGATCACTCTGGACAACACGTTTGACGTTATCTGAGTTGTCTCTGCTCTCTTGTTCAGTTGCGCAACTGGATATGCCGAGTTGATCAGAAACCGGTTTTTAGCTGCAGCCAACTTTAGGCTGCATTCGTGTATAGTAGAGATGGGCATCGGATAAGGTTTCTTTATCCTTATCCTATCCGACACTTTTTAAAATTATCCTTATCCGACCTTTTATCCGATTTTTTTTATTTCTTTATACTTACCCTATCCTTATCCGACATTCGGATATCCTAGTATAATCGGATAATTGTCCAAAAAGACAATTTTTAACAAAAAACAAAAAATTCAGACTCGACATTCAGCGCATAGTTTTTATAATTTAAAAAAAGTTAATGACGACAAAGTTATTAACGTTATCGATTAAGCTACATCGCCGCCATTAATATACCGCTTCAAAAGATTTTTTCCTTAACAATAACGATGATTAAAACTTCATTGCCTTCGACACAGTTGTGTTCCGACCCGGAAAATGATTGTCTTAATATCCTACGTTAAAGCGATGGAATAATAAACTAGTGCAAATGCGTGAATCATGTTGAATGCTCCGTACAAAAAGCGGATACGAAAGCTGCAGTTACGCTTAATTATTGCAGTATAGCACAAAAGAACAACTGCTTCTTGGTGCTGCGACAATCGTTTATGTTGCAGTGTCACTGCTACCGCTTGTAATTCTATAAATTTAACAACGCAAATAATTTATTTCGATTCTTGGATAACGTTCGGACAAGCACCCAGTATCCGAACCTATCCGTAGGCTACGGGGCGTTATCCTAATCCGAATCCGAACGGTTCGGATAATTATCCTTTATCCTATCCGAAATTCGGATTCGGATAGGATAAAATAAGATATTTCTATCCGATGCCCATCTCTAGTGTATAGCGACTAAGCGGCACATGTGCGGGGGAAAACGAAATTTTTTAGTACTATATGAGGGGAAAACTTAAGGCCCCATGGGAAGTATAGTAAGTGATTTTGCGTTATAAATCTTTTTTCTGAATGGCAGACAGATTTCTAATCATTTCTGCATTTTTGAAAATTGCCACGTTTTACCGCTTGCCAGTCGCAAAATGGCACATGCCATTGCCGGTGGCAACTGCCAGTGGCAGGTGCCACTGCCACCTTTTACACCCTGCCCCGAAGGACTGTATTCGCACTTATTAGCTCGTTTTTCGTCCTCCGGCGCACGTGGCCGTGAGAACCGTAGCCACCACGGAAGACTGCACAATCCATTGCTTTAGTACAGATATATCAGTTATTTGTTTCGCGTGCTGATGCTGAAGATGCAAGGATATAGAAAAGACAAGCAAATCTCAGCGAAAGCAAGGTCGTACAACTGTTTACACAGTAACAGAGGCAGGTTGGCAACGCCAACAGTAACTATAAGGTCAACAATTAGTGAACAATACGTTCCACCCAGCAGAAAGCATGTACTAGTCGCTAGGAAAATTTATCGTTGAAAAGCATGATAAAGGCGTGCTCGTTGCCCTTTGCGTCTCCGTTATCATCCCATCGCTTGAGCAAATACTGCGGCACCACGGCGAGGGCGTAGTGTCCTTGGATGGGCATGGCGTCGTGCAGCACGCTCCACTTGTCCGTCGCTTCGTCGTAACACTCCACAATGTCAGTCCAGTTATTAGAACCTGATTTAAACCCATTTACCAATCCGCCAGCAGCGTATACTTTTCCTCCAATAGCAGCTAACCACGGGTAAAGCTCGCTTGTGTATCACGTGACCTTGGGACCAAAAAACCATTATCAGTGAAGAGCGCATCTTGAAGAGCCAAAAGCTTGCTTTTTTATACCAGTCCTGCGCCACGTCGTAGGCCTCCACGCAAGGCAGTGCGAGGATTTCGTTGCAACTGCATTGTGCCTCGGCGGGATCAGCGCGGCTTTCACATCCTCCTTCACATGAACCCTGGTTGAATGCAGAAGCCAAAATGACCCAGATACAAGCCGGTTACAATTCCGCTTTGCTTAATTCACACGTTTCGGAAGCCGGCTTTTACCCTAATTAGAATTGTGCATGCTACATCATTGTCCCACTTACCGATGACGTAAACCAGCCCATTCGTGCCGACACAGGCCGAAGAATGGTAGCGCGCCGTGGGCATCGGGGCCAGTTCGCTCCAGGTGTTGCTCGTGGGATCGTAGCAGAACGCACTGCCCATCGGCATCAGTTCTGCTTTTCTGGCCGATTTCCAACCATCGAAGGCGTACAGACGGTCCTGGCAGACGACCAGTGCCATAGCTGCGCACTTGGATGTTCGTCTCTTGCAAGAACGTAGCCGGTGTGCGCTGCCAGCAACCCAACGGTTTGTCATAGCAGAAGAACTGCAGATTGTAAGTAATGGCAGCGTAGTCAGCATGCAGCATCTCCCGTTCAGGAATGCAGCGTACTGGAAGCAGTGATGGAATTCAGCGCTGCAACCGTTCAGTCCTTGGTCGGGCAGTGCAGTCCATTGGCATTGACCCGGCTCGTAAACGTAGAGGCGGTGGCAGACGCGCACAGCCACACGATTGGCGGGTGTCACGATGACGGACGGCATTAAGTCGCTCCGCGATACCGGACACGACGACAGTCGACTGCAGATTTCCCCATTGCGGATAGCAGCGGCCCTGGCAGATCCTCGGCGAACCGCCACAGTCATTGCGGTGAATGTTTTTTGACGACGGGTCAGTCAGCTAAACGAAAGGCAAAGTGCTGTACTTCTACGATAACAGTGCAGCACGAAATACGGCGGCACGCTCCCGTTGCTGTGCGCTACCTGACGTAGTCTAACTGAATAGACGACAGAATGAGAACAGTGCGATAGCTCTGTCTGTTTAGCTTGACGGCGCCTCAACTCTGTCTACCCCCGTTCCTGTTACTCTGTCTAGTGTCACGAGGAGGCGGAGGAAGGTCTTACACCCCCTCGAAATACTGATAAATCTGGTTGTGGAAGACCGCGGGTCTTGCACAAAAGACGAGTTTACTGCCCAAAAAGGGAAAAATACAGAAAAAGGGAAAAAATGGAAGCAATAAACTAAGCATTTCCATAGGAAATGCATGAAATCTATACCAGCAGCCACCGAGGGTGGCTGCTCCAAACATCAAGCAGGCAGCGTGACACTAGTAGTGAAGACTGCATACGATGCCAACACCAATGCCAGTGCCAATCCAACCTCTGCATTCGGGCTGTTCGCGTTTTGATGAATTTTTGTTTGGAATGAGTTTTTATAAATTTACTTGTTTCAATTTGTAGTGTTCATTCAATTTTTGATGAGTACGATGCATGGGCATAGCTCCACAACAAACAGAAAACGTCAACGAGATATCGGTCCTGTCACCATGCGAAAACTGGCAGCGACAGGCGATGTGGCGGTTCTGAATGTTCCGATGGATAATGCGGGTTCCTCCAGTGAGTATTCTTGAGACGCTCGTAGGCAGCAGTAGTAGTGCCATTGTGCATTAGTTACCATTATCCTTTGGAATGTCAAACCGAGGAGCCTTTTGCAGCGGGAATGTCCTCTACAAAGCAGGCAAAGCAGCCAGTAATCGCAGCGCCGTCGATCGAAAGTGACACACGCGTAGGACAGGAGGATGACGCAGAGGTGATTGCGTTGCGCCAGGACAAACGTGAGAACGAAGGTTTGGAAGTGACAGAAATGTTAGTCAAACTAATGCGCCAACATAACTCTCGGTCCCGCCGTTCGCAGAGTACGCGCAGCTTCTGCTCGACTGCTTCAACCGCGCCTTTACCGAAAGAGCACGCGCCACTCCTGTGAAGAAACCAGACACCACAGGTCCATCTCCGATGACGACCGACCCACGGCGAACACGCCAGCATCAACGCGGACTTCCGCAGCAGCAAGTAAAAATACGAGTCATTTATTATTTTGTTGGCTTTCTTTTCTTACTCAAGCTTTATTGGGTTTGATTGTTTTTTATTACTGCAAATGCAAGCTGGTAAGTTGATGCTTCGATGCAGCATCGGTAGTAACAAAGTGCTGCTTCAATTTTCCCCAAGAAAATGCAGTAATGGGGGATTTCGGTAACTAGACAGTCGACACCGTGCAGAATTAACGGAATTAACGGTCTGTATCTCTTCACTGCGCAGGATACGGCGCCGCTGGCAGACGACGTGGAAATGGTGGTGCGCTTTTCCAACCGCCTGCACCCGCACCTCATCGGCTTCGAGATGCGCACCATCACCGCCATTCGTCAGGAGTGCGGCGGCAACGTGCAGTTCTCCTTTCCGCCGTCGGGATCCGGCGAGGATGACATCACCATCCGCGGGCCCGAAACCAGCGTCGAGAAGGCCAGGACGCTGCTGCTGACGATGGCTGCGCGCCTATTCTCCCGCTCCGAGGTGGCTGTGCCGATCCAGCCGAAACCGCAACGACATCAGCCGATTTTTGCCAACCGGTCTAATGTTGACCGTGTAAGTGTCCACGGTTATTTCCGCTGTTATTTGTCAAAAGAGAACGCCTGTTACTCTCGGCTAAAATTAATATTGGTAAATTTTATTGGTTACGGTATTTTATACTCCTTCAATTAAATAGCGTTTTCTGGTTAATCAATTTTTTATTGAATTATTTCTATGAATTTATTTAATGAATTTTTTTTAACGGTTTCTTCAAGTTGCATTCAGACAACTGTAAGCTGTGCCGAGCATTACTCAGCGCAGAAGCTCGTTTTACGGTCGAATAGCTGCTCATGTTGTCCGTGCTGGACAGGATCTGATGCTGGTGGAGGAGGAGATGACGGTGCCGCTTGAGTACCACAGTCTCATTAACGGCCGACAGGGCAGCGGATTCCGTAAACTGATGGACCAGTTCCACGTCAGCATCAGCGTCCCCAACGCAGCCGACCAGAGTGACGTCATCTCGATTCGCGGTCTGGGTCGGCACGTGGACGCCGCCAAGGAGGGGCTGCTCGTGCGCGTCAAAGAGCTGGACAAGGCCAAGGAGGAGCGGGTAAGGAACGGCGCGGTGTAGTAGTTGTGGACGAATCGGTAGTAGTACGAAGAACCAAGGAATAATACTTTTAAGCGAAGATGTCACAGAAATGGATCCGGGTTCGACAAATGACAACTACCGAAACGTCAGACGTAACAATAAATCCTTTATTCGTACAGTTTCCATGTGTACGAGGAGGATTGGTGTTGAGTCGGAAGCGAATTTCTAGCCTACAGTTAAACTGAACACCTAGTCCACTAGAGCTTGATTCAGCCGTCAACCGTGGATGGTTGCCGTACCTAGCATACGTAACCGCCAACCGAGTATGATGGCAGCGCCATATATTGGCGCTGGTATGGTTGACGATTACGCACTGTTGGGTTAGTGCAACCAACCACGGTTGACGGTTAAAAGCAACCTCCACTGGATTGGGTGTTCAGTTTAACTTTAGGCGATCAATTCGCTGCCGACTCTACACCAATCCTCCTCGTATAGCCAGTATGGGTGAAAAAGGCGGCCAGCGCGAGCGTTTACGCGGCCGGTAAAACGGACGCTACCGCAGCAACGGTGGCGCAGCTGATGTAGGCGGAGTCGGTCCCTATAAATGTGTTGTTGGAGGTCAGTCGTTGGTCAGCGGCGTTCTGTGCTGCACACTAGAACACAGTTCTTCCAGTGATCCACCGTCAGTGCCGCCGACCCGTGTCGCCTTGTGCCGTTGGCCCCGGGCACCCCCTCGCAGCGATCGGTGGGCTGCCAGGCCGGCACCAGCACCCACAGCCACGCCTGCAGCCAGACACCGTCCTAGCAGCTGTGCGCGGGATGTCAGACGTCCGTCTCATCGGGACTGATCTGATGCCGATTGCCGGCGCTGCTGTCAAGACCCGAGTCGCACGCAGCTGATTGTAGTGTGGCTGTGTCACATAACTGGATTAGCGTACTTCGGAAACTGCATTCGTATTTCGTACAGTGCTTCTGCATTCGGCCGCTGTCGCAGCTTCATCGAGTTGGCGAGGTGAAACGGGCGGTAGCGGAAATGACCAAACGAAAACCATATTATTTGTCCAGTACCGATTAATGTTGGCCGTTTTCTGTGGGTAGTGGAGTGCTAGTAATTGTCGCTGTGCACATCGGCCGTTGTTTGTCGATTGCTTGAGTTGTGTGTAGGCCTGTAGGGACACAGTAGCCGGGTACCAGTAATTCACTGAGACGTTCACCTTAAGTTAGCCAAAAACTCTATCACTATGCAATAAGCATTGACAACGAGGATAAGCCCAACAGCGCCGGTATAAGTCACAAACACCGCACGAATTCTGCAGTAGCAAAAATGCTACTGTAAGTGCAAGGCTTACCATTAGACTCACGTGAAATCATTTTCTAATATTTTTAAAGAAACTAGACGTTGTATTTTTAACGCTGTATTTTCTGTGGCCGTCCACAAATGTAGTTTCTTACATTTTTATTATAACGGAGTAAACGGATCATAACAGCTCGTAAACATAAAAAAGTTTTTAAAATCTGTTAAATATTGTAACAGTAGCCTATCTGGCTGCTGTTCTAGTGGGTTGGCGTGTTGACCGTAACACGATGTTGTGTGGGCTGTTGGGATGAAAGGTTGGCATGACCGGCAACGGTGCGGTCGTGGACGCTCTTACTAACTTAACGACGTAACTAACGTAACAACGGAAGTTCAGGGCATGTTTAATGACAAGAACAATGCAAGACAAGGAGCAAGGTTTAGGCAAGAGTTTAACAAGCTGATGCAAGCTGTAACAAGCGAACGCAAGACTGAATTTTAGAATTGTGAAGAAGAACAGCTAGCCGGTAAAATGGACAGAAATATTCATAACGCAATGACGAATCATAACTGGGTGGTCTTATAGTTGTACAACTTCTATCGCTACAATATTCTTGCTTCTACAGTCTGCCAATGCCATCTTCCCTTTATTTCATCTAAATCTCGGCGTTTTTGCCAAAAGCAGGATGCCGATCCTTGTCAATCTGGCCGGCTGTCGCCCTGCTTGGCATATGATCACAAAAATTACCACAAAAATTGATAATTTTTTTTACTTGAATAGTGAATACTTGTAATGGGAAAAACCATTTTTCAAATTGATATTCGTACTCCTTCTGGTAGTGACACTGTTTCGTTTAAATGATTGCCGTAATTAAATTATATTCGTGTTTGTTTGAGTGAGAATGTTGTTCGGGTCTTTATAGGTAAAGCAGCGGGACAGTGATGGAGAGGAGGAAGAGAGCTGGCGTGGCCAAGACTCTCCGGTGGTGTTCCGGCAGAACAGTTCCGTGCCTGGTTTTCTGGCCGATCCTGGCGCTCGACAGAGCGATTCAGGCCGACGACAGGAGGTGATGGATGTCGAGAGGGATGATGAGCAGCGTGATGCGGCGGGTGGCGAACACAGCGCAGTCGATACAGGAGACCGGGAGGCCAGGCAGCCGGCAGTTTTGGTACGGAACCGGTTCGGGCATGTTTACGCGTATAGCAGCTGATATGCGAGTGCAGCCGTCTGAGATTTACAGAGATGACCCAGTCAAGGCTATTTAAGCGCAGCGGCTAATATTATTATTGTACTGAAGTCTCTGTCTGGCAACATTGGCTGCATATACCAAGTTGAGGCAGTTGTGTTAAATAATTTACAAAATAATTTAACGCCTAGCTCTGCTTTTTTTTGCACTTTTCTAGCATAACGTTTTATTGCGAATCTAGAAATAATAAAACTACAATCTTTTGAAGCACCAGTAGCGTGCCGAGCACTGATTCAGGGGATGAGGTGGTGGTTATTTTTTGTACGCTTATAACTGACTCTATAAAATATTCCCCAACCGATATTTCTTGTGCACTTTTCTGGGAACCGTTAAGGGCCAAAAAAGGTGTTTGCTGTCCGTTAGCAAAAAAATCTTGAGCGATCAGGGTTTGAGCTAACGCCCAAAGAAAGTGCATCTCCCATAAACTTGTATGTTAAAAATGACCCGTCGTAGAATATGGCTGCCTAGCTGACGGATGTAGGTGCCCTTGAGCTAATATTTTTTACAGAGAAAACAAAAAATGAGCCTTGTTAGTCAGTTTTGATGTGCCGACAAATATCCAGCGCACCCGTGGGGAAATGGAAGTACCGGGACGATTGCAGATAACTTCACCAAAGCAGATCGCAAAAAAGGCTATGCGTGCCGATTTATTTGGTTGCAGTGAACTGTTTTAGGTTTTTTATAAGCGAAACATTTAAAGTTGACGATCAGTACGTGTTAGAAAAGATCTTATCAAGAACGGTTGCCTGCGGCATTCCGCGACTGCACAGTGAGCTCGAAGAGAAGGTCACCCTCCACTTTGAGAGTGCTTGCAGTCCAACAGAAAAGGTCACGCTGGCTGGATTGAAATTCACGCATGTTAGGCATGATTCACAAGAGGTTAGGATGACAAACAATCTAGACTTATCACCATTAGACTACAGCCTCAAATAAAAGGTTAAAAAATTTTGCATGAGAGGAAGGCTAGCACTGTCCGCAGGTTGAGCAGTATTTTTATGCATGCCGGCTCTAGTTTTGACCTCACTGGAACTCGAAACTCGCCCTCAGTGTAATAAATTTTAGTGTAAAAGATGCTGGAGACATGGGGCAACTATGTAAAAATTGAATAATTACATATTTGTTGACGGCTGGCTTTTGGTAATTTTTTGAGAAATCTGCCCCAACTTGGCTGAGCAGGGCTTATAAGACCCGAGATAAAGCAAAGCTGATCCGTAATCGGGATTTCTTTCTTCTCCTAATTTTAGCAGAATAAACTGACATCTGGCGCTGATCCCACATCCCCAGCGCATCAACACCGGGAGGACGGCGAGGGAGCCGTGTCGTCACGACTTCGAACGCGCCGACCCGTAGCCAAGGTCGCACACGTGGCGGAAGCGTGCATCCGCTACGCGTTCTCCCACGAGGTGCAACGCGCCGTGCCCGCCTCGACCAATCCGGAACCCAGCCACGCCCACCCAGGCGAACCGGACCCCGATTGGCGCATCAGGGTCGCGGCCTCTTCTTTCATGGGCACACTCCCTAAGGATTATCCCGAAGACCGCCAGGAGGAGGCGGTGACCTACGCGCGCGGAGAGGGCACTCGCATGTTTCGCGAAATCGCACGCCTCAAGGACGCCGCACGCGACGCCGCTGAGTCGGCAGCCGTCTGGCGCGCTACGCAAGAGCACCGGCAAATGGAAGCTATGCAGCTCTTGAACCGTCACGAGGCGGAAATGGAATGGCAGGATTCTGCCGAGGACGAAGACGAAGAATCCGAGCAGCAGCAGCAACACGATCCGGATTATCCTGCTCCTCGTAACCCCCGTAACACGCGAATCCGTCATCAGTAATGTTCGCGAAATCTATGATTTCGACACTGCGAATATCACGATGCAAGGCCGATATCTGACTGGCTTGATCGGCACATTCAAGCTGTACAGATTTTTTTTTCGTTGACTAGTTATACACCAGTCATATTCGGCTTCGGCTCGGATGCTCCTTTGGTCTACAGGCAGTTTTCTGAAAAATAATTTCCCTTCATTTGTTTTTAAGTGAGGTTTTGGCGTGCGTTTTGGCATTGCATATACGATTTCGGCACTGTCTTCGGTTTGCAGCTTGCTCTTATCAAGAAAGAGTTATAGCTAATCGGTACATTTTAGGTGAGACGAAATAAACTTTTCCGCTGAATAAATGCTTCTACGCTGTAATAAGTGATACGTAATACTATTGTAACTGCAAAAATAATTACTGCACCGTTGCTCTTTAAAAACTGGTGGAAGCATATTTTAATAGCGAACAACAATATTGATATCGCTCCCGCAGTTTAGTAGGGTTGCTGCTTGATTCGTTGGATGTGGTAATTCTGTTCAATCGGCAGAATTGCTTGGTGGACATTCCACAATAATAACGAGCCACAGTGATCACTTGGCCCTAATTGTAACAGTGGTACGTAGTAATGATTTGTGACTTTCAATTTGTGAAAGCGGGCCACGAAATTGTTCTTTTTTGTCTTTGCTTTAAAACGCTTTATACGCATAAACTTCTTATTTGTGCGCTTTATGTATTGCTTCTTCAGCTTTTTGTCAGAGGGAAGCCAAAAATATCAAAGAAAGCTGTAAATGCTATGGGAACCACTGGTTCCCATAGCCTTTACAGCTTTCTTTGGTTCCGAACCACAACTCAGCATGCTTCGATAAAAGAAGTAATGATAAATGAAGTAATTTTGTTTATCCGTAATGTATTAGATCTTGATGCAGTTATCGCGCTACAGAAATAAAGTGCAGAGTACACACAGTGATGATCAAAAGGAAGTGGCAAACTGTTGATCTACTGTAGGACAATGGCGTCCGCTCTTCTCTGGTCTGGCGAATTTGGCCATTCAGCTCTCTGGTCTGGGGTAAGCCGCTAACGGGGTACGATGTCAGAGGTCCGGTAACTTCCAGTCACTCAACAGGCGCGGTTTTCCTTATTCAGGAGGTTTGTTCAGTGGGTAGTGTGACCGTTTCCGTAGTTCCGTTCATTCGACAGCTCAAATTAAAAACTCTCTTAGCACTGAACAGTGGTCAGGGTTGAGCAACTGCAGGGGTATGGTTTCCGTTCTCGTAGGGTCTTAAGGGGAAGAAATTTATAACAATTGCAAGGCCGCGGAAAGTTTTACGACACGTAGCAGGCACAGCATGTCCAGTGCGGCGGGCATTCGTTCCTTGACGCTGGCATCCAACCAATCGTACAGCGCCTCACCCACTCGGTCCTCGCTGTCCACTTCCAAATCGTCCGACACGAGTAATTCCATCACCTGCATAAGCACACGGCAGGATTACGACATTGCAACAAGTTCGAACTGAAAACTATTTTGCCTCAAATAGTGCGCTTTCTTGGTGTAACAATTAAGCACCATGTTTTTGTCCAACTCCAGAAAAGCCGCACACCGGTACATTGTCAAGAAATTGCCGCAAAGGACGTTTCTGACTCTTTTTGCCAAGTCGGGATTAGACAGCATTTCCGCCCAGTGTGCAATGCTCCAGCAGTTCGTCAAACTGACGTTCCACTCTAGAAACTCATGGACTCTCAAATTAAGCACTGTGGATATCAGCTATAACAAAATACCGTTGATCGACTGGTCGGATTTCCAACCGCTGAATCGCAGCATCAAGGTAAGGAATTAAGATATATATGGCTTAACTTTCGGCTCATTGCATTTCTTGTTTTTATAGGAGATTCGCCTAATCGATGACCAAATCCAGAACATTTTCCTCAGCCGCTTCTTCGTGCTGCACAACGTGGAAACGGTGCAGTTGACCGGCAGCAAGCTCTTCAGCTTCGACAACCGCTTTCTGCGCAGTCTGGCTTCGTCCCGCGGGCGGCCATACTTGAACGTGGACAGGAACATGCTGTGTTGGGCTGACAATCAGTGCCGGTGCTCCGAGCTGAGAAACCTCTGGACCTGGCTGAAGAAGCGACCCGATCATTGATCGGAACGGCGCTGATAGCGGGGATGTGGTGACGTGCGGCAGTTACACCGGTGGCGCGGTGGAAGATGTCGGTCTGGCTACGCGTTGGGGTGATGTCCAACGCGGCCCGCGCCGCTACCTCGGGGCATATATAACCGCTCTCGCCGTCTGCAATAGGAAGACAGTTCGCGCGCCGGAGAAATTTCCCGTTTGCTTTTTGGAGAATGCAACCGCCGCTGCAATGCGCAACGCGCCGGAAGTTGTTAACTAAGTTTGTTAGAAGTTTAACGGAGAGCGTTTTTCCGGTAGATTAAATCTTGGACAAACCACTGTTGTTCATTCGCTTGGACTAAAAAGCTGTTAAGATTTCATGAACGCGTATAACTTTGCCTGCGGGAAAAATTCATTAGTATTCGTACGCGTGGTCTGTTGAAACGTAAACATAGCACGCGGCAACTCTTTGGGAGTCGATTGGACTGCGTTTCTTCACACACGGGAAGCCGTGGGTGTCGCGTTGATGCCGTCTCCCGGTTTTTCATGGCCCAAGCCTGAAAAAGCCAGAAAGTCATGAGGAAGTGTACCATAAAAGGTGAGCTTGCGTGAGCTTGCTTGCATATTTACTATTGTTGATATGTAATTGTCGATTCATACTGGAAATGTAGACAAAAGTATCGGCTAACAAAAACAAAATCATAACAATCATCATTTCGTTCAACTAAATGAAAGGCAAGTACTGTACTTTTACACGGTAACAGTGCAGCACGAAATAATGCGGCAGGCTCCCTTTGGCCTTTGCTGTGCGCTACCTCAACCGTAGTCTAGCTAAACACTGGACAGAGTGATAGCCATGCCACGACGCTGCACTTATTGTAGCTCGTCATTCAGATTTAAGATAAAAAGGCTTAGTTAATTAACTTGGTAATCAGTACCTGAGCGAAAATTCGATGAACTAACTCTAATCAGCACATTTAGCACCTAATAATTAGCGCATATGCCCCTTATTAGTAATTTTGCACCTAGGTTTTTTAAGCACCTAGGTTTTGCACCTAGGTTAGGCTTTTGCACCTATGTTATTAGTAAATTTAACACACAATGTCGTGATAGAAATAACATTACATCAATAATTAAGCTATTTGAAATTACTTTCTTATTAAGTTTGCGCACGTTGTGTTGGGTTGTCCATAGCAGGGAATGGCACTGAAGGCAGATTTAGTGCAGAATTCACGGTGCTCTCAGAATCGGTGTTAGTTCCTACGCGTGTATCCGTTATCACTGGTGGAAACATCTTTCAATTTTGTTTTAATCATAGCAGAAGGATGAGTAACCGATACGTGCGTAGCAGTCGTGCCGCAGATACAAGCGGGCTGCTGATATTTGACAGTCGGCCCATGCTCAAACTCGGACTTGGACTACTAAAACTTGGACTTCACTTGGACTCTAAAACTTGGACTTCACTTGGACTCTAAAACTCGGACTTCACTTGGACTCTTAAACTCGGACTTCACTTGGACTCTAAAACTCGGACTTTATGACTTGGACTTGGAATTAGGCGTTCCTTATGTTTCTCATGTCTTCTTACGTTTCTTCATGTTTTCTTAGGTTTCTAGGTTTCTCAGGTTTCTCAGGTTTCTTAGGTTTCTTAGGTTATTCTTAGGTTTTTTTTATGTTCTTAGGTTTTTTTGGCGTTCTTAGGTTTTTTAGGTTTCTTAGGTTTCTTAGGTTTCTCAGAATACCAAAGAACACCCAGATAACGTAAGAAATGTTAGTAATCTCAGAAACCTAAGAACACCCAACAAACCTAAGAAACCTAAGAAATTCAAAGAAACCTACGAAACCTGAGAATCCTGAGAAAACATGAAGAAACGTGAGAAGACATGAGAAACGCCTAAACCCAAGTCTAAGTCATAAAGTCCGAGTTTTAGAGCCCAAGCGAAGTCTAGAGTCGAAGTGAAGTCCAAGTCCGAGTCCAAGTCCGAGCTTGAGCGCGGGCCTTGACAGTCGCATTTGTTGTTCAGCGTGTTCCGAGTAACGGCAGCGAGTGTGTCATGGCTTGCCTGTACTACTTCACTGCACCCGCACTACTGCGCTGCACAGTGTGTGCACTGAAAATGTGGCTTTCAACGCTTCGCTCAAAGCACTCAGTCAAAATTTCAGAGTATCGGGTTCTACATTTTTGTGCAACTCATTGCCGTTCCTAAAATTGTACTTGATAGAGTCGCGAGGTCGTGTAAGGCTCGCGAGATATTATGGCTGTACAGGTTCTCGAAATCTGGCAAGCTCTTAGCACTGGAGAAAGCACATGGATCCCAGATACAGATTCGAAAGAGTGGAAAAGGTTCCAGGAAGCGCTGATGCAGGAACCTGTGTATCCAATGCACATCATCCCAGCAGTTGCGGGGGAATTGTTTGGATTAAAAACACTGTACCTAGTGTTTGGATACAGTGACGTACTTCAGGCACTGGGAGGAGGCCCAGAAAACCGAAAAATCGCCATCCGGGTATGCGGAATGCGGTAATAGTCCGTCATTTGAATCGCCTTGTGTACCAGTCAACCGCGAAATACTACTGATTTGTACTAGTGTTCTTGTACGAGCATCATTTTAGTACTATTTTAATTGTTTGGTTTTGTGCCTTTTTCAGCTATTGGCCAAAGAGCCATCCAAAGAAGTACAACGACAGGAGGCCGTGCGTATCAAGCGCCTAACAAATCTGCCAGCGAGTGCTTCTAACGTCTTCGCTAACCTACGCAGATGGAGTCGCGACGGAGACCTTACGTCGATCGACCATGCGGCGCTGATGTTCCCCCATCATCGATATTGCCTTTTTACTGAAAGGCGACCCAGAGCAGCCGCGGAAAGCTGCATGCAAGGCGAAGATGATGATTGGGATCTGAAGTTTTTCTTACTCCAAAAAGCCGATGCAGCTGGTTGTATCTCGCAGTATCTGTCGTTTCTGGACGAGATGCGCACCCATAGTAACGGAACACAGCTTCTCAAAAAATGCAGCGCTGACCTGCCCACGTTTCTGCAGATCGTAAGCATACGCTTGAAGTCTAAGGCGGCTGATGCGCATATGGTTAACAATTCTGTTACTGCTATATTGATTGACATTGTTGTGTGCAGCTGGGGTCGAAGTCTGC